ACACGCGTTTTCATTGTCATTCCAATTAACGCAAACTTCAGTCACAAACTCTATAATTTTCATTCGGTAGGAGAAAAAATATAGCACGTCTTTTCACTCACCAGTGATGCGTCTCTTCGTATATAGACCTTTGTCCAACTCTGCAATAGAGAACAGATATTTGAGCCGGTTGAAATCATAAAGGTTCGAATTAAAAAAATAAAACATTTAATCGATATTAAAAATGTTTTGCAGATTTGTACGCTGAACATTTTCGTTAAATTATAAATTATGTAAAACGTCAGCCGAAACGTTCGCTTTAATGTGTATTTCTTATGTATTTATTATTTCGTTTAAATGTGAATAAATGATCACTTCTTATTTATTTCTCGTTCCGTCCAAATGAAGTTTTTTAATATCAACTGACAACTTTGTTATGTTTAATAGCTCTTATAGCCCTTCTTTGTTTACAATTATAAATTATGTTTATGAACGATTTTAATGCTGCCCATCGCAACCAATTTAAAATTGTGTGTGTGTGTGGATCTGGTTTCCTTTCGGAAAGCGACGCGAAACAGTTAGGATCGACTGTCACGATTGGTTTTCATGTTCGGATGACTTCGCGGGTGTAGAAGGTCGACATATTGGCCGAGAGTGCGGGAGGCGACGTCTGGCGTCGAATGAGAGACGGGCGTCGTGTTGAAAGCAGACGGCCGAGTGACGAGACGCCAGAACGACTTCTCTCTCGGTACCGGAGACGGGACGTCGTCTCCGATTACAACAGAGTCCTCCGAAATTCTCCGAGAGAGAAATCACGTCGCGGAAAGTACACCGCTCCGACGACCGACGTCGTCCTCTCGGATGTATAATGGTATTAGTATCGCGCGATAAAGATATTTTCAATGTTTGCGCCGAGAAGTAGATAGTACCCGTATCTGTTTCAATCAATCTTAATCTCAAGTAGATAAAAGGCGATGTAATAAAAAAAAAAAAAAGAACTCGATTACAAAAAATTGAATAAAATACATTTTTCAACGTATTCTTGTCTCGATAAAATGTAACGAGTAATCCGATACAGAGGCTACAAAAAATTTATAATATCGATCCTTTAATTCGCGCTTGATACAGAAAATAAAAAAAACGCGCGATCTTTGCCAAAAGCGAGTTTATCAGGACGCGCTCTGCGAGATTCGGCTCGAATAAGCGGGAGAGCATTTTTATTATTTCACGTGAAGTAACATCGAATCACACGGGGGAAAAAAAAAATAAAAAAAAAACTGTGTGACGCCTGTGTTTTCACATTCTCTGCGACACATGTGCACAATATACATCATGCTTCCACCATTTCGCCGCGCGATCTCGCATCGCGCGACGCAGCTAACGAAATATTCTCGGCGAACAGACATTAACAGCTGTTTTTTTGGCGGGACGGGACGGGAGGGGTCGGAGGTTTTTTACACGACGGGCCTTTAAAGTCGGCGCGGCGCAACGCTGAAATTACCGTCGACGCAGCCGCAGGGGCCAAAGGGGGACGACAACGGACAACGGAGTGAGGCGGTAGAGGTTTTTGAAATATGACAAACGCACGTTGTCCATGGATAAATTTTGTTTATACGGTGAGTTGTGCGCGAATATATTCTCGACGCGTCGACACAACGTCGGTCTTTGATGAGGAGAGACGAGCCGTGGCAAGAGAAGCGCCCACCGCGCTGTGTAATATCTGTACGTGTGTGTATATATATATATGTGTGTGTGTATATTTATATGCATATATATATGCGAGGCAAGAAGCGAGGTGCATGGATCCAAATCGCGCACGCGGCCGTACATGACGTACGATTAACCTGACAATAATGCACCGTGTCATCGGGATGCCTGTACTTTAATGAGAAGTTGGCACCCGTATAAACCTACAGTTTCTAAATTTGTATTCGCATCATACGTCGCATATTAGATCCGTTCCACGGTCGATTGAAAAATTCGTAGACTGCTCCTTGTACCGTGAAACATCGAGGAAATTATTTTCTATATACCGCGAGAAGATCGGAATCTCCGTTAGAGATCTTTCTCTAAATTAACACTCCGATATTCTGAATTTTTTATATTCGGCGTCGGATGGCGCGCGAAAGAATTTAAGCGCAAACACGGCGAACATGCGTCGCATAGATAACACGGACACACGGCAGCGCGAAAGCATATCAAAGGTGTTACGTGCGTCTAGGCAAAGCAATAGTTATGCGCGTACAACATACTCGTATAACGGCGCGATGTGACGAGCGGGGGACATACAACGCGCGTTCCAACGCGGAAATAATACATATACACATATATATATATAGTCGGGGTACACACGTTTGAGAGGGAGAGCCAGAGTTCCACCCCATTGCAAATCCCGAGAATTACGTTCGTCGAAGCGTAAAACGCGCGCGCGGGTACCGCGTGAGATCCCGCATAATTTGCTCGCCGGGACGCGCGTGTAAAAGCAGATTCCGCGCGGTAGACGCGACATTTCCGTTCCGCGACGACGCGGAACGCGTTCTCAACTTGATGTACGACACCTGGCGTATGACAGCGGTGATTCATCAGCTACCGAAAAGCCAAAAGCGAGTCTCTATATCGTCAACCCGAGCGAAACCGAAGAGAGAAAGACGCTTACTCTTTTTTTCCCTTTCAAATAGAAAAATATTTATATATATTTTTCGTCGCAACTATAATCCAGCTATTATTTAAATACATTTCCATTCCAAATGCACGCTGCGCGTAAAATATTCATTGTTTAAATTTACAATTATTTTTTCAAACATATATACACGATAAACATTTCACAATGGCGATGTTAAAATTAAAAAAAAAAAATATCGATATTATTCACGTCGCGCACGAGTGCACTTGCGGAAACCGAGGCTGGTTAAGTAAACCAATTCGTCTCTTCCTACATTAGCGTAACGATTAGATAAGGGCCGCGGCGCGAACGCCTACCCTGTATCGGGACAATCTCCGGCTTACTATAATTTGTAAGCCTTCAACCGTCGCGCGGATAAGAAAGATACATCTCTCCTCTGCCTTGTAATTACAGGTTTCCATTTAAACGGCCGCGCCGCGGGTTAGAGAACGCCCATTTGTCTTTAACTGGCGTCTAACAGACCACGTGTACAAGTATATCGAGGTTTCCACACGCGCGGCCGAAAGCCGGGATAAATTCCGCGCGCAACTTTCCACGGTCTTACACGTGGTAAACATCCATCTACGAAAGATGTCTGCCAGCTGCGACGCATTTACCTGCCGATAAAGATTTCGTCGACTCCTTGTTTTTTTCTTGTCGCCATAATCGTAAATTTCCCTACAACGATAAATCACCTTACATCGCCGATTTCTCTTCTTTGTTTTAAGTCCGTCTTCGTCAAAATAGTCTTTTCTTTTTATAATCACGGACAATGAAGAAGACTGACGCGATATATGTATGTACAAGAGAACGGAAACGTGTCGTAATATTATAATTAGTAATCATCATCGCTTCGTGAAACGGAAAAGTCAAGAAACCAGACTTCCTTCCCGGTTGTCTACGCTACGGCAGAATCTCGAGTAACGCGTGTTTATCACGACACCTACACCTCACCCAATACGCTACCTATTTACGTCGACAACGAATGTTGCTCGCCAAGCGATTCTTATCTCGAGCTCTCTCGAGTCGCTTCTCCACCTTGTTCCTATCTTTCATCGCGAGGAGACAATAACTCGCGCCAACGCTTTTCACTTTTTAGCCTCGTGAATACGTACATATGTCGCTCTACTATGTATTTATCCACACGATTATATTTACGATCTCACACTCTATCTCACGATCTATATAATTAACGCAATACGTGGTTTTTCAACTTCCCGGTTGGATGTCCGACTCGATGGTTTCTGAATATACGGTTTCAGGCGGCACGAATTCGAGCCTGACACACTTGACTCAAATCCATAAAGACACATTTAATGCGTACAAGATCGCGCGCGAGGATCTTAAATGAGCAAGAAGTACGACAGATATAAAGGGATAGATAGAGAGTAAGAGGAAAGGCAAGAGAGAGTGACGGGCAAACGTAGTGAGAATGACACACTCGTTTCCATTTGAGCAATTTCAGTGCGACACAAGGCCGAGACGAGACGAGACGAAGCCGAGCCATGCCACGGTTGTCTTGCCGTCATGGGGAAGAAAGCCGACGAAACGCCAGGAACAAAAGAGATGAGACAGGGCCTGTGGGGTGCGCGAGCTGTCACCTGCATTGTGTGTCGCCGGCATGTCTTCTCTCCCTCTCCTCCCCCTTTCCTCTCCCTTTCCAGGGGCTCACCACCATTCCACGTGCGTCATCCGCACCACCGTCGCCGCCGCCGGCTATCCTCGTATTCCTCATCTCCTTCTCGCCCGCTTCCGCAAGGACGATCGTCCTTCTTCAGCGTCTGGTTCTCGCACTCGGGGACTCTCTCTCTCTCTCTCTCTCTCTTTACGAGGGAAAGGGGGTATAATAGCCGTCGGCGGCGTCCGTGTGCGCCACAGCACGCCTAATCACTCTTGGGCGGGCGCGTCTGCTATTGAGATGTTTAATTAACTCCATTGTGATCCTCTTTCGGGCTGCGACACGCCGCAACGGCCCGATTATCGTCGGGCTCGAGGACAAGGGTTTACCGGCGCAATCTCCGACATTTTTGTGTAGCGCTCGTTGAGTTAAATCCAACAGCGCAGTCGGTTATATTAATGAAAATGAGCGCTTTCGCGAAACAACGAGCGGATCTCATTGTCTGCTAATATATAAATGAGAGACGGAAGAGGGATTTGTATAAGATTTTAGAAATTAAATTTCTTCTATATATCAAATAAAGTTTTTTTTTTTCATGTCGTGTATTATTTTTACGATATTATTTATTTAGTCTGTTACAAGTTTTTTTTTTTTTTACCTTATTGTAGATAATGTCACATAATTAATGTCAAAACTTTAGGAGCATTTGAAGTATCGCAATCCTGAGAAGAGCAAGCAGAGTACTATTTGTGCGAAACTACATGCACATTGCCACGAATAGTCGAGTGACGAGGATTGTTTTGATAATTCCATACGTGATGCTCCAGCTTTTTCTGTGAGTCGGCCGGTAAAACTCTGGGGACGATAAAGTGATGCGGCGATTGCTGCTGCTGCTGCTGGTGTACAACTGGTCTAATTGGTTGGCTTCTGTAAATGTTGGATACGACCGGATGTTCTTGGCGAATAATTGGCACTGCAGCCTGTTGCTTAGAAACGTTCTGCACAGTGGGTTCGCTCTTGTAAATATTCGACGGTATTGAGTGCGCCCTGAAGACAGTCGATTGTTCCTTGCGAATGTTCTGTACGACGGGTTCTTGCTTGATGTGAACAATTGGAATGGCGGATTTTTTTTGATAGACATCTGGTATCACGGGGATTTTCTTATAACCCGTCGCTGAAACTGGCTCTTTTTTAATTACTGGCACAATAATCGGCTTGTTCTTGTCAACGATTGATGGCACTGGAGTTTGAACGACATTAGAAGGGGTCAATACGTCACCGTGACTGATTTTGTGCCGAATTCCCATTTGATGCCGTTCTTGTAAGAGGATGGCAATCGATGTACTTGTCCAGCGCTCAATGCAACGAAAAGAATGGTTAGAACGAGACACTTCATTTCGTCAAAAAAATTCTCTTAACGTAGAATGCTCAGAAACCGTACGAACGATAGTTGGAGACTGTTCTGTGATTTTCGGATCGACGATGGCGTTTAAATAGGATCTCAGGAATGCGATATGTCGAATTATTTTTTTTCCATTCATTCAATAAGAATGAAAAAAATGAGCAGAACTATTTTAATCCTTTTTGTATCCTAATCATATAAGCGCGGACGAAGGATAGAAAAATAGAATAATATGTTGCAATGGCGTAGAATTTTAGCTATACAATCCATTTGATTTTAATCAAAGAAAAAGTAAGAATGTGTATTATTTAAAAAAAAAAAAATTTTTTTAAGTAATATTTCTTTCAAACTAAAAATTATGAAATACTAAAGCGATTGTATCAATAATTTTTTCATACCACGATAATATATTTACACTTTTTTAATACTCCAAGCTAGCGTCATAGGAAGCAAATATATCGCTCGTAAGTAAATGTCAAATTCGAGAAAAGCACGAGGCAACGAAAATACCGATAAATCGTGCAATCAAATCTACGCGAAATATTTGGTGTCTCCCTCGTGTAATATAACATCGCGCCATTGGGCGAGACAGAAAGCACTATGTTGTAAATTTCTCGCAGGCCAGGTCTTGTCGCGGCTAGCTTATTCGGCCACGATCCAACAACGACCGACCGGCAGACTGCTGGTCCGTATATTTTAAGAGTCGATGCTGCTGGTAGACGTATTATTTCTCGTGCATTTCGAATGCACGACCCGAAAGCGCTGCCCGAGTGCGGGCGCATCGAAAATCGGATACTGGTTTTCACGGCGGGTCGCGGACGTCGTTTAGATACGAACGTCATTTTGTATTCAAAGACCGGAATATACACTTCTCTCTCTCTCTCCCTCTCTCGGCTCTCCTGGTCATATTTATTTTCATATTATTTCGCTTTATCTTTATTCGCGTGTTTAGGTGCGTTAAACGACCGCCGATGCCAAATCGCAAAAGACTTGGATATCACGGCATTTTGATCGCTCGCATATCCCGCAAAAAGATACGAAGATGTAAACTATGTTGGCGTAAAGTAATCCTCGACTTATATTACGCCGATATCAGACGATAAAAGATATGTATATATTTTTGACCTGTATATTTTATTACTAAGATAAATATTGAATCGTCATTGACTGTAATAAAGTTTTTATATTTGTATGATAAATATTCTAACAATTCTTGTAATTGAGCAAATAGTCGTATTTTGAAAAAAAATATCTGTTTATTAAAATCTCGAGAAGAAATCGCTAGTTCCGCGATCGTAAATTTGAACGGCGCGACGATCATTCATTTATGATTTATACGACGGCGGTTGAATTAGAAAAACCTCTTAACTTAGGTATTGCCACATACCTGAATATGTAATTACGACGTGACGGAGTTATTAATCGCGTTAAGACAGGCTGGAGTGAGAAATAGAGAGAGAAGGAGAATTATTAAGGATCGAAGATAATGGCATGGTATGCTTGTGTTGTCGAGTCTCGTGTTTAAAAAAATTGTTCTTTTATTGCAGCATATCCGTGTCATTTATCAATGATAGATTTGATAAATGTCGATGCGCGTGACAAAAATAAAATATAAATAAGCGAACACATGCAAGCATATAGTATTTATTTTGCACGAAATTACGAAAGCGTATTCACATTTAGTCAATGCTTAGGAGAAATGTAAGAAATTAACAACAAGAATATTAATAATTTTCTGTATTTGAAATAATGATTGATAGAGAAGTGTGAAATATGTACATATATTTATTTACTAAATTCGGCACTAACCATATGTTATAATATAATTACAAAGTTTCTTTTTCGTTTCTCTCATTCATTTCGCGACATTTACATTACCACAATGTAGCGAATTTCATAAATGTTTTTCTTCGGACATAAATGTAAATGTAAGTAGACTCATAATTTCGCGAAATTATGCAATAAATACATATGTCGAGAACTTTTAATACAATTTTATGCTAAATCGTGTATTTATTTGTAAAATTAATCTTTTTATAATAACCTTTTCTTATTATAATTGTCTGTTTATATGTAGATTCTTGCGACTTTGTAACATGTTTAAAATTGCAGATTTGAAATATAGTCGGAATAAATAGAGAAGCAATTTTTTTAACCTGAAACCCAGGTTTCATCATGTTTTTTCGTTAATAAAATATTTAATGATTTCAACTCTATTAACATGATAAATATATCTGCGAACACATTCTTGAATAATCTACAAAAATCTTATAATACTATATACTTGCTTACATGTGATAAATAATTCGTACGAAATTAATACAATATACAAGACATAAAATGTACTATACATATAAATATGTTATTTGCATACTGGATGGAGAAAAAATATACATAAAAGGCAGTAATAAAAAGATAAAAATAAAAAAACTATGTGTGATACAAAAGTCACATAATATTTAACAGACAAATACGTATATCTATATGCAGATACGGATCTGAGTTATCACAATTAATCGTTATTATTTACTATAGATATCCATCATTTATATTCAATTTTCGAACGGTGTGCCATTACTCGCGCGTCTGGCCTTCGTCTACGTCTTCGTCTTCTCTCTTTCTTCCAGCAATATTGTTCCCAGTAATGTTCACATATTGCGATACGTAGCGAGCGTAACTGTCGGTATTTCGCGATCGTTAAGCGAGTAAATGTGTGTACACGTTACGTATATAGGACCCTCTCTCCCAACGTATGTATATACATACGTATGCGAAGCATCCAGCTGCCTCGTAAAAAGTCAAACGTATTACGCGTCCGCGCCGCGGCTCCGGCCACGTTGACATTTTGTGTATAAGCACGCAATATAATTAGCAGCCATAACCATAAATAAGATAATTTGCATGTATTTTGTATAATAAAGCTATTTTACGCCGAGGCACGAATCTCGTGCTTTATGGCATGCCGGTGCTGTGTAAGTATGTGTGTGTGTGTGTCGAGAAAAAATATTCTCTCTCTCTCTCTCTCTTTTTAGATATACCGCGTGCCGGCTGCGGCTGCGGCTGCGGCCAAGTGGAAACGAGAACGCGACTCCGCGTTTTCGGTTCGCCGCCGGCCACCTTCAAGATTTATAAACTACGATTAGCTGGAAACAATTTCTTGCGCTCTCCGAGCAACGATTTCTCTTACCCGTGGAATATCAGCTGATTGTAAAGTTTATTCGAAACGATATATTATACGTGTGTAGGCAATTTCTCTATCATTTCAATTTTCCAGATAATAATTTAGAATGTTAAACACCTGCACATTTTTTTATTACCGATAAATCGCAATAAACTTGAAACATTTTGAAGATACTGCAGTTTGAACAAAGACGTCAAGTCTTAAGAAAGTTGAAGATAACGCGCAGTCCTGAAGCTATATAGAAACTTAACAAGACGCAATGATGGAACTATATGAACTGATCATTTTATAATTGAGATGTAATTCTCGAATATAACGAATCTCGACCCGCGACGGGAAAAAAAGCTCGACAACTCGACAACTAACTTTGAACGTCTCTCAGCGGTATCCGATCTCGTCGCTGCAACGAAATAACTGTAATGCATCGTACATACACAGACGAGGGATACATAAATTTTCGTTGAACGGCCAAGTTGTTGAGTACGCATAGCTACGCCACTGCGGGACAAGAGAACCAAGCATTCGAGCAGCAAGACTGGCTTCGGTGTGCGGCCAGAAACAGTTCCTCGCCTAGCATACAAATGAAGAGTATAAACATGTCGTCATTATCTGCCGGATTTATAACATGGATACACCCAGGCTTGACGCACAGGTGGCTCGACAGTGGTTGCCATTTCGAATCTCGACGTCCGGCATCTCGCGAGCGTCGATTTCAAGACTATCCAGATCGCAATTTTAAGGCAAGTTAATATTCCGTTTGATAGTTGGCCTTTTAGAGAAAAAAAGATTCTCTATTTTCTCATCAAACACGCAAGCTATAAGCGCCAAGTCGTAAAAAGTGACCATCTAAGGATATTTTATAACAGTAATTCCATTTTAAGAGGATATATTAGCAGTATTGCCAAGCAATATTATAAAAGTAAATATTTATCATCGTAATCTCTCTTATATATATAGAACCCCCTAATGTCATGTATTAATAATAACTTGCTAATAATAGCTCTCTCTCTCTCTCTCTCTCTCTCTCTCTCTCTCGGAGCTAAGAGTGCGAAATAAATTCTACATCGGGATAGTTCCCATAAAATCTTAGAACAGTTTCTGCTGAAATAAAAGAGAAACGTACGCAAACGTGAGAGAAGAACGGTATTATACTGCCATATATTGATCGCACGGTGAAATGCCTGAAAACTGAAATACATCTACGCTCAAGAGGGATATTGCGTAATTTGCAGTGCGGGCTCGCGGTGATAAAAAAAGTGGCACTTGATATTTGCAATTGAAATCGACAACATCGACAAAATGGAAGCCGCGGTAACTATTTGCCGGGGCTGTTGAAACGGAGAGCCCGGCGGGCGTGCAAAATTTTTAATGTAATTTACTTTCGCGCCATGACGTAAGCATCCTACTGGTATCGACATTTCCACGAGTGGGCGAAAGAGAAATTTGTGTGAGTGTCGAATGCAGTATTATATGGCCGTGGCAATTTACTGCGCGCCGTTACATACTATTTACCGCGCAATTTACTACGCGCGTTACAGAGTGCAACGTTACAAGAAAGCAACATATGTACGTCGTTATATTTTCTCGTCCAATAATTTATATCGCATCGCGCGCAAAACTTTATTTAAACACTTCTTTCAGTATATACGTATATACATACACCACCTTCTGTCTCTCCGCGTACTTTGCGACTTTTTCCTCCTCCCATCTCCACCTAAGGTAATTTATAGAAACGTTAATGAGTCGCAGGCTGGCGTGAGAAAGAGTCCCGCGTCGCGCTTCAAGTCACGCTAAAGTTTTAATCTTTCCTCGACGTCTTTCAATTACGCGGCCGTATATACATCTTTTTTCCGTTC